AATAAAAATTTTTAGAAAGAAACTATGTTTAAAAAATTACATTATGACCTGCTTTAAAAATAAGTAATGGTACCTCACTACACTAAGGATAAAGCCCAACTTAGTACAATGCGTAAGACCCTTAACAACTTGAAATTTTAAATATCTCATTCACTTTTTGACACCTATATTTTAGTCACATGGACTGTGTGCAGTTCCTCAAACAGCAGGCCTTCATACTCTCTTTTCCTAGACAGTGTTTGCGATAGTCAGAATCTCTACCTCCCTTCTTCCCTTCCTCCCTCCCTCCCTCTTCCTTCTTCCTTCACTCCCTCTCTCTCCTTCCCTCTCTGTCTCTTTCCATCCATATATCTAAAGCCTGTCTCTGTCTCTGTCTCTTTCCCATCTCTCTATTTTATGTCTTTCTCTGTCTGTCTGCATGTCTCTCTCTCTCTCTCTCTCTCTTTCTCCCACCTCTCCCTCCTTCCCTCTCTCCTTCTCTCCCTTTCTCTCCCTCCCTCTCTCTCCTCTCTCCCAAATGTCCATTGACCTTTCCAGGCCAAATTCAAACTCCATGTCCTCTAGGATATCCTCCCTTCTCATCATCCGCTCCTATAGATTTCACAATGATCTATTCAGACCACTGTGTAGAAGAGTAAGCAGCATCTTCAAGACATACCACTTATTCTCTAATTACCTCCTGGAACTAAACTCACTACAAACAGAGCAGGTAATAAATGAGTCAATTTCTAATTCGAAGAAAAAACAGTGAAATTTTATATTATCCTTTTGGCATCTATTTTCTATCTGAGAAATATAAATACAGAGATAGAAGAAAAAGAGGAGGATGTTTTGGAAGAAAAGAGCGACATCACACTGAATGAGCAGGCACTTCAGCAAGAGAAAAAGGGGTGAGAGCTAGAGACAGACATAAAGACGACTGGTACAACAGTAATTCAGAACTATATGTAAATTCACTCACAGATGACAGCAATGATTTCTTCAGCCTCTCTATTAAGCTGAGTATTGGTATGTATTTAAAAGTTATCACAAATCTAGCTACCATTTTCATTGCTATTAAGGATTTTTTTTTTTTTTTTTTTTGGTTCCGAATGCCTTCAGGGCAGGTTTGGCTGGCTTGAGTTGTGGGGATCAAACCACAGCAACCTGAGCCTGACTGCTTTGTTGAAGAAGCCACTTAAAGAACTGAGCTAAGGAGCAGGCCCCCTCACTGCTATTATTATTTATAGATAAGTCTATGTTTTAAGTACTGAGTTAATGCAAACATAATACAAACAGTATATGAAAGATTATAAATATAAAATTTATAAATCCAAAGCTTCAACTTTGTTTAAAAGCTTTCAGAATCTACAGCTTCAGTTTGACAACACTTGACTGATAATTCAACATATATATGCACTAAAAATTATTTTCAATTAAGACATAGGTATTAACTATACAGCTTTTAAAGAAGTCTTTAGCTATCATTTAGAAATATGAACATAAGCCATTTTGGTCAATTAATCAAAGAATGTTAAAAGGATCTACTCATAACAGTTTGATAAATAAAAGCTACATTATCAGCAAAAAAAAATTTACTAATTCTAAGAGAAAAAAGCTTTGAAGCTTTTAAAAGCCATTTTGCAAGCTGAATGGAATGAGCTGAAAATTTCTGTATTCACTACTACTAAAGAAAATAGGAAGACTAACATCTGTAAATAGTTAATAGTACTTTTTCGTGGTTCTTTTAAAAATGCTTTTGGTTACATAGCTGATTTTGCTTACATAGCTGATTTTTTTTGCCATAGTTTTATTGATAAACAAATAGCAATGAGACAGTTTCAAATCAAATCGGTAGGACAGTTTCAATAATTAACACACTGCATACATTCTTCTTAGTGGTTAATTGCTGTTCAAGATGCGGACTTGATATCCTATTTACAAAC